AGGCTGCACAGCTGCATTTCCTCTTCTGAAACGTCAGCTTTGGGAACGTTCTCGTTCTTTGTCACATCCACTGGGTGAACCTCAGGCTTGGTTGTCCATAACCTGCCCCAACCAGCCAACCTTGCCTGTGTTTCCCTATGGCTCCTCAGGCCTGTCCTACGGAGGTGCAGTAGAACTTCTGAGGCTCCCCTTAACATCGGTGACTATGCACGAAGGACGAGTTCTGTGATGGCCTTAATGGGCTCATCGACTGGCCGCGGTCCTTTAATCTTAGGTTGGGACAAATCCTGAGGATTTGGGGACACGTTTTGTTCTGAATTGGGGGAAGAGAAGGGTAGGTTTACACTCTACTTTGCAAAGTTCTTTGCTTTCAGCGCAAAGCAGGCCAGCATTTGCAGATATATTCCTGTGAGTCCGTCAGACAGGTCTCCTGCCCGTCCACGCCTCTCCCTGTCTGTGCCCAGGCCTCTCTCTTCATTGCAGACCCCGGACTGTTGAAAAAGCAAGAAAAGAAAAACAGCATGAGGCAACTCAGTCCTCTTTTTACCCACAAAGCCTGTCAGCTTTTCTGGGTGAAGCCCCGTCATGAAATGCTCAGGCCTGGGACACCTTGCAGTACCTGCGCTACTATCCTGTTAACCGGAATGCTCGCCAGGGACCAAGCTCACTTATCTTTTCTCACGAAAATAGATGATTGATTACATGTGATACCTGGCTAATGAGTATTTTTATTAGTGGCATAGAGTTTAAATTACCCAGAACTATTGTAATAGCCTCTCGCTTAGTCCCCACCCCCACCCCCCGCCCCCAAATGTTTACCTATGACAGCATCCTTAGGTGAGCTGCCACGGGCCTGTTCTCTGGAGGAGACATTCATTCGTGTTGCTCTGTAAAAATAACTGAGTGCTCAAGGCCGTGGAACACAGAGGAGCCCCTTTCTTCTTATCTCACGGTATCTCCTGTACCTTACCTGTCATCGCTCAGAACAGGCGGCAGTTCTACAATGACTTCATTTCCTGATTAGAAGCTTGGCTAGGGAGGCCAATGGAAATAAAAGGTAACAAGCAATGTGTCTGTACAACTGGACCTTGAATTTTTTTTTTTGGCTGACTTTCCAACAAAATGCATTTCTTTGAAAGTCCTTTGTTATGTGCATTTTTATCCTCATGAAGAATTTGAAATGTCCCTTCGAATTGCTCTGCTGCCATGCAGAAGAGAGACTAGGAGAGGCGCGCACACAAATTTAGACTCGGTGCATTTATTTTTAGAAAGCCCCGATGAATCCGATGGGTCTCTCTTAGCTATACCTGAATGCTCTTAAAGAGCTCTCTCTGGTCCTCATATATCAGGATCCAGCCACCCACATCTTCAGTCATCTCTCTCTCACTCTCTCTGCCTCACTCTGTCTCTGTCTCGCTGTCCCCCCGACAAGTTCTGCCTAAGCTGGTCAGTCACATGGGTTCACTCTTCAGGATGAGAGAACATTCTCAGACTTTCTCTTCTGATGGTTCCATTCCATTTATCGAAGTTCCCGCCCGGCTTCGCTCCTCATCTCTGTTTGAAGGTCACCGTTGACCAGCTGGTCTCATATGGGTGCCTCTTTAAAGAAGCATAGCGTCCATGGGTGACATTCATTGTGTTGTGGGTCAGTTTGCTATCGAGCTACACAATGACCTTGGGCGCATTTCAGTTTCATGTTTGAAGAGGGTCTCAGGCCAACCATCTCAGTGAGTCTTCTAGTCTGACCAGTCCAGTAGATTTGAGGTGTCTGGTTTTTCGGCTTTTAAGAATTTGAGAGTCTGTTCCATCTCTTGTTTTTGCTTTTCGGTTTCTATTAGGGCCCCTCTATTATGGCCCTGATTGGAACAGTCAGTCATGGTAGCGGGGCACCCTCTAGTTCTTCTGGTCTCAGGGAAGATGAGGTGTTGGTTCCTACAGACTAGTTTCTTCTTAGAGGTTTTGGTTTCCTTCTTCCCCTTTGCTCTCGACAAGCAGGTACCAGTAGTTGTATCTTAGGCGCCCACTTGGAAGCTTGGAAGACCCCAGGCATGACTCAGCAAACTCACATATAGAAGGTAACTTTCTGAATGATTATGCCAATTGAGATGTCCCACAAGACTATATTATTAATCTTTTAAACCCAGAAAACCAATCCTGTGAGGTGTTTGGTTATATCTAAGAAGTATCCATCACTCTGCCTCCATGTGTTTCATTATATATTATTATAGATGCATATAGTCTCATCGATGAATATATATATATTCATATATATATATACTCTCACACATGATGAAGAATATTGAAAGTACCATGAATTGCCAGAAGATCAAACATCTGTCTTAGAAGGAGGACAGCTAGTTGGCTCATTAAAAGCTAGGATAGCGAGATCCATGTCACATACTTTGGACATGTTATCAGGAGTGACTGGACTATGGAGAATAACATTATGTTTGGTCAGTAAGAGGGTCAATGAAAGTCACTGTGATCAAAACAGCTTGGTGTTGGTATGATAATAGACATGTAGACCAAACGATTAAAATTGAGAACTCAGAAATAAACCAAGTACTTACAGACACCTGATCTTTGATAAAGGACGAACACACATTGAGTGGATGGGGAGATCGGCTTTTCAATAAATACCGCTGGAAAAATTGGATCTCCACCTGCAAAAGAATGAAACAGGACCCACACCTCACACCACGTACAAGAATGACCTCAACGATGAAGTAAAGAACTAAAATATAAACCCTTGAAACAAGGACTGTCCGTGAAAAAGTAGGGACAAACTTAAGGACCCGAATACAAGACACAGACACACATAGTGCGAAATAACCACACTGCAGAAGACAAAGGACCGGGGCTTTCTAAAACATAGGACATGTTTGTAGGTCAAAAGACATCATCAAAAGAGTACGAAGAGAATCCGCAATTTGGGAACATATATTTGGCAATGATATATCGGATGAAGAGCTCATTTCAAAAATTGATAGAAACCGGTAACACCATAATAAGAAAAATACGAATGACCCAACCAAAAACGGGCACAAGACCTGAATAGACAGTTCACCGAAGATGGCATCCAAGCAGCCGACAGCCACATCAGGAAGTGTTCGCCTTCATCAGCATGAGAGAAAGACAAATGAAACCCATATGGAGAAACCACCTCCCACCAACTCTCAGCAAAGTTCCAAGAAACCAAAAAATGAGAAATGCTGGCGTGGGTGTGGAGGGATTGAGACGCTCATACTTCGTTGGAGGGGCATCGCGGAGTTTCCACACACCTGTGGAAAACAGGTGGCTCTTCGTTGTACGGAAGAATCTTCCAGGCTCTGCTGCATTGTGAAGCTACCATTCTTTCTCTCTTTCCAGACCCAACCTGCCTTTTCCTAAATGACTTGTCCTCGCGCAGTTGTTTGCCACCAGTAGATCGCTGTTTTGTCAGGACCTTAAGGAGCTCCCGGGGTCAGCTGATGCGTTGAAAACACCTTCGGTGAATTAGAGAAAAGGCGCGGCTGTCGGAGAGAGGACTATGTCCAGTAGGTTCCCGTGTGGTGCCTCGACCAGCTGACTTGGGCATTTCCTAGTTGTTTGATGCTGCGGAGGTCCACGCACGAGGTCCTCGTGGGAAGCTGCTGGAAGAGCAGGGTGGAAAAGCTGTGCTTGTGTGGTTTGTGTCGACTCCACACGTGGGGTCAAGGGCGTTCCATGAAGAGTCTGAACTCTGGCAGGCTCCACAAGCCCCCTCCTTGCCTTTGGCAGGCGGCTGTTTCTGAACTAGGCCGGGTGGACGGGAACGTCCGATCGCAGTGAAAAAGGAAACCAACACATGAAGTGGATTCGGGCTCATGGTGACCCTGCAGCACAGGGTGGAATTGCCCCATAACGTTTCCAAGGCTGTGCGTCTTTAAAGAAGCCAGACTCCCACGTCGTCCCCCCACGGCGCGCCTGGGGGGCTGGAACCACCGACCTTTCCATTAGCCACCCGACATGGAACCGCCATAACTAAAGCCAAACGAAACCTGTTGCTGTCGAGACCATCCTGGCTCATACCAACCTCACAGGACAGAACTGCCTGACAGGTCACCTCGCTGTCATCGTGATCAGGGCAGGCTGCCATGTCTCTCTCCCCTTGAGCATCTGATGCATTTAGACCACTCATCGTACAGTTAGCGGTCTCTTGTGCCACCAGGACTCCTCTGCTCACAGTCCCTACTCACTGCCGTCCAGTCAATTCCAACCCATGGTGACCCTCGAGGGCAAACAGAATTGCTCCTTGGGGTTTCCTGGGCTGGGAGTGTAGATCGAAGCAGAAAGCCTCGTCTTCCTCCCAAAGAGCAACTGGTGGGTTTGAACTGTCCACCTTTCGATTATCAGCCAAGCTCTCCTCTGACCACAGTTGTTCACAGCACCTGTGTGAATCCATGTCATTGAGGGCCTTCCTCCATCCCACCCCCCTCTGCTTTCCCAAGCAGGGTGTCCTCCTCCAGGGACTGGTCTCTCCTGACAAGATGTCCAAAGTATGTGAGACGAAGTCTTGCCATCCTTGCTTCTGAGGAGCTCTCTGGCTGTACTTCTTCCAAGACAGACCAATTTGTCCTTTTAGCAGTCCATGGTACTTTCAATGTTCTTCTCCAGCACCACAGTTCTTCTGGGGTCAGGGTTCGAAGCTCTGCCTGGGTTTCCAGCTGCCACAGGGAGTGGCTGTGGACACAGAGCAGGAGCATCCCATGAACCCCAAATCTTTGGTCTGAATGCCAGGGGTCCAGCATGAGAGATCTCCCCAACACTCCTGCCCCTGAGCCACATCTATACCTGGGGTCTGGGGTCTTCCCTAACCTGAGAATGGGCCCTAGGCCAGGGGCAGGCTGTGGGAGCTCCTTGACATCCCCAGCCTCACTCTCAGACACAGGGAGTCCAGTTGTGACCCTGGAGGGAAGCAAGTGGCCCTCACAGCTGTCGAGTGTACACGTCTGTTCTTTTTGTCTCTTCCTTTGATCCAGGGTCAAGCATACCTGCAAGAAAACCTTACTGGAGGAGGTGCAGGAGCTGGAGACCAAGGCCCGAGTGATGGGGAAGGCCATGCTCCGGGATAGCAATGGAAAGAGGTGAGTGGGCCCTCCCACTAGCAAGGGCTCAGCCTGCCCTTCCCCAGCCCCCTCCTGACTCTTCCTCGGCCCAGACCCAGGTATCTCCCTCTCTGGCCTTCCCCTCCCCTTTGCTCACCCAATGCTAAGCACTTAGGGAATGCCCTAAGAATGCCATAAGGTTGAGATTTATTTCGCACTCATGACTTCTGGGGGCACAGGGCCTAACGCACAGGTAAGACCGGGGTTTGTGTGGAAGTCCAAACACGGGCAGAAAGCCCCTCCCCAGGCACAGAGGCAAAATCAGGGCACTGCTCACTTTCCCGTGAAAGGGTTGGTTTCGGGTTTAGCAGAATTGCTCCAGGGGGGATTAAGAGCAACACCTTGTGTGACAAGGGCACATTCTTACATAAAAGAAGGAGCAGCTAGCAGGCCTGTGTGTTGCGAACTTACTGGCAAAGTGCAAGGGGGCTTTGGAAAAGGTCTTGGGAAAAGGGAACGAAAAGATAATGGAATTTCTCGGTGAGCCTGCTGAAGCTGCTCGCCTGGCATGCACTATTCCGTTTGGTTTGGCGTTTAATGAATGGGGATTCATCCTCCTTTCAAGTCTCTGTCCGAAGTTACCAACCAACAAGACAAAAGTCACTGCTGTTGATAAGCTTCAAACCCTGACTCGCTGGGGCTGGGCTTGAAGCCATCCCATATATCACAGTCACTCGGGGCCACACGTGGTTCATGCCATTCTGTCTGCTGGCCCCTCTAGGGACCGTTTAGATTTTCAGCTGGTGCAAATTTCTTGAGTCTGGAAGTAAAAAATCAAAACAAAACAAACAAACAAAATGATTAGGCTCCAAAGACTAAGGGGATCCTTGCCAATGAAAACGATTAAAATGCTGCACAGTACTCATCGGTCTCACTAATGGTGGAGCTTAATAAGCACTAGCAGCTTTAGGGGGGTTGAAAACAATGTACTGGCTCTGGCGGCGCAAGATTCTCAGACACACACACCATGGCTACTAGATCTCAGTCAGGTGGCTTATGTAGGCTGAGACCCTCAGAAGGAATCCTGGTCCAGATGTTGGCCCAGCAGCAGTTCCTCTGATGTGGGATGCAGGTGCATTTTCACTTGGTTGCTGTGATGTGCGGCAGGGTCTCGTTCTGTCTGATGAAGTCCTTAAAACAGAGCTGGACACAGGGGCACATGCCAAGCCCACAGGCCGCATGTTGGTCTGTGGAGATTGAAAAACAAAAGGCTGTGGTTAAGAGATGGGCTTGAAACCAGAACTTGGAGGATTTGAGGAACTTGAGTTCAGGCAGTTGGAGCAGCTTAGGGAGGGGGCTTCTAAAGGTTGAGGAAAGCTCTCCTTATCTTTATTTTAAATTTTATTGACATATAATTCACACAGCATACAACTCAGTGCTTTAAAGATATTCAAAAGAGTTGTGCAATCGTCACCACATTTTCTTCATTCTCGTACTCATTGGCTCCCCATTTCCCCCAGCCTCCCCTACCATAACCCTAAACAACTATTAATTCAGTGACTGTCTTTATAGATTTACCTATCCTGGATTTCATATCACTAACCCCACCAACAAGAGCAATAACAAAATAAACACAGAAGAAGCTCACTTTGAAAGAAAGCAAAAAATAACAAAAGCCACAACAAATTTTAAATGGGTCAAAGGGAAGAACGAATGATAAGGTATAAAATTGTAACCTAACTACATCTATATTAATCCATTTTCTAATGCACTCTGTCTGATAGCCAGGCTATTCACATCTTTTGTCAATGGTGAGAGGGGATTCACCAGAGGCTTTAAACCACCTGGGGATGCTACAAATGGATTGGGGCTTTCACTCTCATCCATAGCCTTCTGCAAACCAGGTGCTCAGAATTTAAGCTCTAATACCATTCCCTTGTCTGGTCATGGATTTTATTATTTACAGTTCTTGGATCACACACTGGTATGCTTCTTCAGTGTGGACTTAGCTGACACCTAACTTAGACGGATGCTTTCTTTAGAACAAACTTTTAAGATAGCTGGGCACCATCTAACTCAGTATCTTTTGGCCCCATATTTTTTACATGAACTTTCCAAAGTCCCCAGAATGCAAAACCACAAGTCAGACTGTGTTCAGGGAGGACCATGTGGCATTTCACCCAAACCTTGGGCCTGGCTTTGAATTCTGTCTTAGCCACTGACCAACTGTGTGAGCTTAGGCTAGGGGTTTCCCATACCTGGGAATGTCCCATCACCTGGCATAGACACTTGCTGGTAGTTGCTGTCAAGTTTGCCCATTTACAACAGAAGGACACGTTGTCTGGTCCTGCCGTGCCACTGTCAAGATCCTTGGTGTCCCAGAGCCCCTCATGGTGATCACTATGTGTTTTGATTGCCTTCTGACCCGGGGGACTCTCCTTTCAGAATTGTATCACACCGTATTCTGTTGTGATCCACATGAATTTCCAGCGCTGGTACTACTGTAGTGGGTTATGCATTGGGGTGCTAACCCACAAGGTCCCACAGTTACTCTGTGGGAGAAAGATGAGGCAGTCTGCTCCCATTAAGATTCACAGCCTCAGAAACCCACAGGGGCATTTCGACTCTGTTGTAGAAGGTCACTGTGAGTAAAAAACTGACTTGACAGCATCGAGTTGTTGTTTTTAAATTTGGGGACGTATACACCAAGCCTGTCTTAGTCCGGAAGCTCAGCTGAAACTTGCCCACCTGGTGGCATATTGGACGGCTAACCCTCAAGGTCAGTCAGCTGCTCTGTGGAAGAATGGTGAAGCTTTCTTTCCCTTAAAAGATTGACAACCTCACAGACCCATAGAGAGTAGTTGTAGTCTACCTTCTGGGTCCTTACATGTCTAATGGACTAGATGGTAGTGGTTTCAATAATAGCATCGTAGAACCCCATGTGGTTCTCTAGTGTCTGTATAGCATGTCATGGTGGTTACAGGTAGGACTGCCAACCACAAGATCTGCAGTTCGAATCCACCAGCCGCTCTGAGGAAGAAAGAGGAGGCTTTCTACTCCCATGAAGAGTTTCAGTCTCAGAAACCCACAGGGAGAGTTCTACCCTGTCTTATAGGGCCCTGTGAGTCAGCATTGACTGGATGGCAGTGAGTTTGGTGTGTGTGTGTGTGTGTGTGTGTGTGTGTGTGCCTGGCCCATGACAGGAATGCAGGATCTCAGCCAACGGCCTTCACTGTCGGGGAGAGCCTCTGTCCACACTTGTTGATCATGAAGATAGTCAAGTGAGCCGTTCAAAATCACGTTTAAATGGATCTGGGAAGACATGCTCAGTCCAGACATGCTAGTGGTTACGCATTGGGCTGTGAGCTGCAAGGTCAGCAGTTCCAAACCTCCAGCCACTCCACTGGAGAGAGATAAGACTTTCTGCTCCCATGAAGAGCTGCACTCTGGGAAACCCGCAGGGCAGTTCTCCCCTGTCCTGTGAGCCATCCTTGACTCGATGGTAGTGAAATTGAGACAGTTTAAGAGCCCTTTTGGGGTCACTTTCAGTCATTGCCAGCTTGGTAGCTGCTGCTGCAGGGCTGTGTGTGTGTGTGTGTGTGTGTGTGTGTGTGTGTGTGTGTGTGTACAGACTCCTACTTGCTCATCTCCTTTTCCTTTCCCGTGGGTCTTCGTGCCATCCTCGGCTCTTGGATTCCTGGAGAAGATCATTTAGGTAGCTCATTCCTTCCCCATTGCGTTTCTCTCTCCTACCGGCTCCCAGGTTCTCTGGGTGGTCCACCTGCCGCATAGGTAAGTGCAGCTGCTCTCTGCAAGGGATGGTTGTTCCTGCTTGATCTCCCAGAGCTGCTCACAATTGTTCCTTTATCACCATTGTTTGCTTTGTTGACGGGTTTCCTGCATTCCTGAGCCTCTCTGGCCTTGGTGGGGGCCGGAGGAGAGGGTCCCCCTGCAAGCGGAGTGTTCCTCAGGGTGGCAAGGGAGGGGCTTTCTTCAGCTCTGCCCTTCCTCCTAGAATCCCTGGTGGTGTCGTAGTTATGTGTTGACCTGCTAACTGCAAGGTCAGCAGTTCGAAACCAACAGCCACTCAGAAGGAGATCAATGCATTTTGCTGCTCCTGAAAAGAGTTATAGACTCGGAAATCCACAGGGAGTAGTTCTACCCGGCCTTGTAGGGTCGCTATGAGTCAGAATCAACTAGCTGGTGGTGAATGAGTGACCCTCTATGAGGATTCCAAGGCTTCATAAATCTTTACAGGAGCAGACAACTGCATTTATCTCCTGTGGAAAGGTGTGTGGGTTTGAACTCACAACCTTGGGGTTAGCTTGGACTGCTTACCTGATGGCAACACTGGAGCTAATTGAGATTTGGTTAGACCCCCCCACCCCTCCTCGAGGTATCCTCTCCAGAAATCCTTCTGGAGATTAGGCGGTAAGCTCTTCTGTGCTGTGTACGGAAGGGAGCGTGTTGAGCCAATGATTATCCCATGCGTATCTGACACAGGATTTGGTCCACAAGAGAATCCTTTGCTCCGCAGTGCGCTGGTAATAGTAGCTTCCCTCGCCAGTGCTGGAGTCTGCTTCCTGTAAAATCTTCTGGAGGGAGAAAACTCAGCTGATGACCGCTTCCTTTCACCAGCATCTAAAGAAGTGCCCACCGTGCCACGTGCGGTAACGCAACCCAGCTGCTCGCCTGTCTGTGCCACGCCTGCAGGACAGAGCGGAGCTGCTTCTTTGGGTTTCTGAGACGCGTCGTCTTTAGGGAGCAGAAGCCTGGTCTTTCTCCAGGGAGCGGCTGGTGGGTTCAAATTGCCGACCTGTCTGTCTGCAGCCCAATGTGTCACTCACTGTACCCCCAAAGCTCTTTCTATAAGATGACCCCAGCCAAACGGAACCGAACCATACCCACTGCCACTGGGTCAGTGCCGACTCATGCTGACTCACCCTGACCTGGGGAGGTCACTGGAGCGTGCCTCTTCATGGGGAAGGTTGCCTTCATCTTTTTCTTGCGCTTAGATGTCCAAGATCTACCCTTCTGCG